TCTAAACAGAGTATTTGTTTATCCTAGAAAAAATATGTACTTAATATGTTAGAGCAGATTTGATGGGTGGTAGACCAATTGATGTTCATCTAGATCTGAATCAAAAATTGTTGATAGATGATGGTGCACTATTTAAAAATCCAAGTCGATATCACAGGTTAGTTGGGAAACTTAATTATCTCACTATCACCCGTCCAGGTTAGTTTGCTCGTAGCTCAAATTATACAAGTTAGCTTGAAATTTGAATTTATTTTAATATTCCAAAATTTGAACTGAAATTTAGTGTTAGATTTGTTTGAACTCGAATTCCTAAATTGGATTCGGTTTCAATGCACCAAGACCCTGAATAAAATGGAGTTTTTATTTGTCGGGAAAGATCTGCACAAGTCACATGCTCATAGTTATTGCCTGAACATAGGAGAAAAAGAAAAAATGTGACAAACGACGATAGACTTGTTTGGAGTTAACTTAAATAAATAATTTTTAAGAAATTTAGAGTAAAATAAGTTAGGTTTGTTTGCATCTTAACTTTTTTATTAGCTTTTACAATAATTTTTTGGACAAAAAAAAACTTATTTAGATTGATCCAAGAAACTAATTTTATATGAACTTTTCTTATGCCTTTTTTTGGAGTTTTATCGTGGCTACCTCATAATTTTTTAATTTATTATATTCATAAAATATTATTAGTGAAACAAAAAAAATTGAAATTCGTATTTTTGAAACTAGTATGTATAATCTATGCATACATATAATTATTTTTTTATTTTGATATAAAAAGCCAAAAATATTAAAAAATCACTCTAAATAAATTTTTTAAAATTTTTCATTTTTTTAAAGAAAACATTAAACAGTATTTAAAAAACTTTTTTAATTATAACTTTTTTTGCGAATTTTTCTAGTCATAGTTGTTTTATCTAAAAAAATAGTTAGCTCAACATTAATTAAGTGCAGTCTAAACTACGTGCGCGTGCGCATGCGCATCAAAATTACTATTCTACGAGGAAAGAGAGACAACGGAATTCAAATATGGAATCTGGATATTCTGATTTCTTTTTGTTGAATCTTTTCTGCTAAAAAATTATTTTTATAATACTAAATTGGTGTCTTTTACACGTGGGTTCGAAAAGACTAGAAATTCAAGGTAGGTGGGTGAAACCTTATATGTAATTCCTGACGTCGGCCCAACTTGTCCACCTTCCCAACTTGCTTTCTTTTAATTAATTAATTGATTGTGGCAACTTTGTCCCCGTCGCCACCGTATCACTCTCTCCTATGCAATTTCATGTCATCTTGCATGACTTTTCTTATAAAATTATTTTTTATTCCCAAATAATTGAAATATTACAAATAACTTTCCAATGTCATCCAAAAAAAAAACATAATTGTAATTAATTTTTTTGATTTAACATTTTTTTACATAAAATGTCAATGCCTTTTAATTGAAAAAGTATGAGTTTAAAACTACGTTTTGATAAAAAAAATGATGATAAATCAAGAAATAATTAAAATCTACTGTTAAAAATAGAGATTTAAAAAGACTGACAATTTAGAAGATGAAATATTTTTTTATAACAATAAAGATGACATTCTCGGTATATGTAATGTGCTATTCAAAGAATGTGCCTACGAACGCATGAATATAATCGAAACGAAATTTTTTAGTCAGCTACAATAAAGCGTCGAAGAATTGTGATATTAGGAGAAAATCATAGTAAATTATGACACTTAGTTGCATTAGTCATTTTACTGCTCTTTTTAATGTCGGAGAATATAATGATCGTTCAATCTTCATCGATGCAAAAAATAACATCCAGGAATTTATTTACAAAAAATTTGCCAAAAATTATTCTAGGTTAAACACAATCCAATCAGCACAGAGGATGATTGAAGCAATAAGACAGAGTTGGTATTAGGGTAAAATATACTGAGTACTCAAATTATGTATTTAGTGTCTATTTGATTTTCAATCTTTTAGTTATGTTTATTTGATTCTTAAAATTTCTAATTTGTATTTACGTGGTCCAATCTTAAACGTTCGTTAAAAAACCGTGACAATTTTGATCACACGTCAATCACGTAGTTCTTAATTTTATGTCTATTTGATTCTTAAAATTCTTAATTTGTGTCTATTTAGTCCCTAAAATTTCTAATTTATGTCTATTTAAACCCATGTAATTGGCGCGTGACCAAAGACATTAATTGTTTTTTTACGAATGTTTAGAATTGGACCACATATATATAAACTAGTTATTGTCTGTGTCTGAAGGCATATAATAATAAAAAGTGATAAATAGTAAACATATTTATATTCATATTTAAAACATAGAGAAAAAATAAAGGAATTGAAACATTGATTTGTAGTGGGGGTGAGAGGTGGTGGTAGGAGATGGTAATGGTTGTGGTGGGTGGCGGCAATGACTGTAGTGGTGGTGGCGGTGGTGACGACGACGACGATGGTGGTGGCGGTGGTGACGACAACGACGATGGTGATGGAGATGGTGGTGGTGGAGGCGATGGTGGTGGTGGTGGTGGTGACAACGTCAATCACGTAGTTCTTAATTTTATGTCAATTTGATTCTTAAAATTCTTAATTTGTGTCTATTTAGTCCCTAAAATTTCTAATTTATGTCTATTTAAACCCATGTAATTGGCGCGTGACCAAAGACATTAATTGTTTTTTTACGAATGTTTAGAATTGGACCACATATATATAAACTAGTTATTGTCTGTGTCTGAAGGCATATAATAATAAAAAGTGATAAATAATAAACATATTTATATTCATATTTAAAACATAGAGAAAAAATAAAGGAATTGAAACATTGATTTGTAGTGGGGGTGAGAGGTGGTGGTAGGAGATGGTAATGGTTGTGGTGGGTGGCGGCAATGACTGTAGTGGTGGTGGCGGTGGTGACGACGACGACGATGGTGGTGGCGGTGGTGACGACAACGACGATGGTGATGGAGATGGTGGTGGTGGAGGCGATGGTGGTGGTGGTGGTGGTGACAGTGACAGTGACAGTGACGACGTTGGTGGTGGCGACGGCAATAGCGACGACGGTGGTGACAGCAGTGGTGACGGTGGTGATGGTGACAGTGGCGGCGACAACGATTGTGGCGGTGGTGGTGGCAGTGGCGACAATGGTGATGGTGGTGGTAGTAGAGGTAGTGGTGAGACAATTTCAAACACTATTTTTTAAAAAAATACTTATGAAAAATAATTTCTAAAAGTATTTTTAAAAAGTTATTTCAAACACACTCTTAGGGGTCTATTTTTTCTATTAAATTTAGGGTGTTAATATTAGTTATTAGATTAACTTTAAAGTAAAATTTAAAACGATCTCAACCGCGAATAATAAAAATTATTTTGTTTATCTTTTGAAATTTAAATTATAAGTTACTTTATTATATAGATTAAGAACTTTAAAGATCAAATAGACACAATTAAAAAATTAAGAATCAAAAAAACATTATATGTATACTTTAGGGACTAAAAATATAATTCACCCTTACTATTATTAATAATAATAACGTAGGATAGAATTTTATTATATTGCTAATGCCAGACATGGATACAGCTAATAATGTGTTATGAAAGATATTATTGGTATCTCCCGTGGGAAACTTGGGTTCTACAACTAGGTTGCACAAGTTGTCGAAGTGGGGGGACCCACAACGTGACATTCAACTTAACGCAACTCCAAATCAGGAAGAAAAAGGAAAAGTACCTAGGCAACTAGAATGGATGGCTTGGGTCCCACCATCTTTAACAACAACCAAACCCACGAGTGGACAAAAGTTTTACTAGATGGCCGTCAACAAAAAATGCAGATTAATATAATTAAAAATATTCAGATCACTTTATAAGCACCCAATTATTTATTTTTTAATTTGGCCAAAAACAAGTTATCAAGGTTGAAATTAAAATATTAATAAAAAATAAATTTCTCGTGGCNTAAACACCCAATTATTTATTTTTTAATTTGGCCAAAAACAAGTTATCAAGGTTGAAATTAAAATATTAATAAAAGATAAATTTCTCGTGGCTTAATCTTAAAAAATTATCAAAATTCAAACTTGTGCGCTAAAATTCTAGCACCAAGCAATATTGCATAAGCATTGAATGCATAATGAAATCTTAGTGACCATTGAACGAATTTATTTGAGACCGTTAGATAAATTTATTAAAACTTACCCTCTTTATATATATATATACTAGTCATAACCCGTACTTGAAAGCACGATAAAATATAAAATTCGAACGTCAAAAAAATTGATTTTACTATATTAAATTTTTTAAAAATATATTAATTATAAATTAATTAAATATATGATAAAAATGAATGGTACGATATTTTTAAGAAGAAAATATATAAATAGTTAAATATGTGATAAAAATGAGTGATATAATTTAACGTTTGAGTATGATAAAGAGATGATAGGTTAGATAAGTGATTGATAATATTTTCGAGGGAAAAAATATGACTGAGATAAAATTTAAACACACTTTTATTAAATATGTGTGTGTGTGTGTATGTGTGTGTGCGTGGGGCAATGTGCTTAAAAACCTATGTTATCTCCATGAGGATTAACCATTCAGTATAACAATGATGCAACTTGAACTACTTCAATTAAAAAACTTACAGAGAAATTTAGGCCACATTAACAACAACATTTGTGAAGTACAAAAACAGTACTAAATGGAGAACACTGAAAACTGACCCAATTTAAAACATAAATCTCATATTATAATACTATCTAGATGCAGCTTCAATTCGACAGCAAATCTGGAGCCAAAATGCCTCGAGAACAACCCTTCTCTAGTGTTGATGTTTCTCCAACCTCCAAACTGATCTGAGGTTTCGCCAACAATTTGTTGACGAAATTAAAAACATCCTTCACCTATCTAATTTCATTTGAGGTCAGTTGGTTGGTAAATCAGACGACATACTGAGCAAAATAAATAGATTGAATCCGTGAAGGCTGACATAGACCCGTCAAGCAGAAATACTAGAATACTCTGTGGAGAAGAGATACATCATGACCAGATGACACTTTCTGCTTCCTGCTAGTCCTCCTGCTACGNAAGCAGAAATACTAGAATACTCTGTGGAGAAGAGATACATCATGACCAGATGACACCTTCTGCTTCCTGCTAGTCCTCCTACTATGCCCGGCCCTTCCGGGGATTCCTCCTACTCTTTTCCCCTTGATGAAATCTTCCTGATGAACCGCCTGCCTTCACATCAACAATCCCCCCCAAAAATTGGAAAAGCACATGAGAAGACAAGAAAAACAAAAAAGTATACTAGAGATACTTTTTTGGAGGCGAAAAGATGACCGGAGAGATACTAACCCCCATACAAAATCCTTGAAAGTGGGCATCAAAGCCAGGAGAATCCTCAATCTTGATTTTCCCAGAGTTCATGTCAGAGGAATTTCGCTTGTTGGCGGCCTTGGAGCTTTCACCGCAACTTGCAAACAAAGAAGAAGAGCACGAAGAAGGGTTTCTAGCATGAGAAGAGGAACCAAAGGCCTCGATGTCGCTTTGAAACATTTCATGAAACAGCTCTTGCAAATCCTCAAAGCTTTCTTCTCCATTTTTCTGTCAATACATAAAATTAAACTTCAAAATCATGCTAATCAGTTACTGCTTAGCCACATTACTTACTCAAGTGAACTAAATGCAGCCTCTGCAACCACATGGAGAGGGATGTCTGTGAAATGGTCTCCGGAATTAGCACAAGTAGCGATGGGACCTCGGATCGTTCAATTGACACCAATGGAATCCCAACAAAGTACTGACAACTCGATTCCACACAGAATTTTTCCCTGTCCCATGATAGGTCGGACTACTTATTAGTTTCTTTGCTTGGTTTGTGGGGAAAAAAGAAATGTCTTATTCAACCGTCATATAGCACACTATATTACTCTGTGACAGCCATTGTGATCTACCAAAATTTGGTTGCGGAGGTCTCCATGGAAGATCCAAATTAAGCAGCGCTAGCAGAACGCAATATTTTACCTCTTCTATTCTAGGTCATGGAACTACGACTGTCGGAGAAATATCACACATAATTAGCAGGGGCACCTGATATTGTCACAAGTCCCCCAATCAGAAACATTGACAACCAACGGAGGCCTCATTATTCTCCACAAACCCACAAAGTCATTATAGTGGTCATGGATCAAGATCGCGGTATCGACCATCGACTCGGAGAGCTCTAAGACATATCGGTCGATAGCAGAGTGGATAATATAATCTAAAAGAAAATATTACACATAACGAAAAATTCAGGTCATACTACAGCGTCACAGAATGAACCATATCAACCAATTTAGTGATGATAACTCGATGACTCGGGATTGACACAAATACAACTCGGCCGAGTCGTGCGAAATTCAAGGATTACACGTATCATATAACGGTATACTCTTAGAAGGTGCCGAGTCGGATATGACTCGGCCGACTCGTATCGGTATCAGTCGATACATTAAACAATGGTAATGGTCTATCCTACAACTCAAACCAATATGGAGAACATAGTCTATTCCAGGTAAATATTGGAGCAATTGCCAGGAAAGAAAGGGAGTTGTAGGCTCAATCACAGGAGCCTATTCTAGAATCCTTAATATAAGATGACAATGAGTAGGTTGAGACCTTAGTATGGGCTAAATTATATCTGATAACAGTTGTATGCCCATGTTGTGATAAGAATAACGGATCAATAAAGAAAAAGAGACTTACATTGGGCTTGTTTTGGCTCATCATAGTTGCCATTTCGTTTAAAAATTCCCCCATTCCCTGCATTCCATTACATCCACAAGTATATCATCATTCAGACCCACTTTACTATGTACTTTTAAACAAGAGGCATGAAGAACTATGGCTCAATCAAGTAATTGGTCCGACCCTAAAGTTCATCAAAGCCAATATTTACTTCAGCTGATCTGATTATTACAAATCCACATGAAATACTTACGTTTTCGTCATCATCACTATCATAAAATCCTACGTCGTACAAAATCCTTTTGTTCTCGTCGTAAAGGACTGCAAAGAAAAAAATGTGCCACACAGCATCTCGTGAATTCAATGATCACACAGAATATTGAAACCCAAAAACAAACACAAATCTGTATGTAATTCAATGAAGTAGTGGTGGGTGATAGGATTTACCAGAGTAGGCTTCTTGAATGGCCTGAAATTTCTTCTTCGCTTCTTCCACGTATTTTGAATTCCCCGACGCCGAACACCGATCCGGGTGCCATCTCTACGTAAATAGACAAAAAAACATTAAACAAAAAAAAAAACCATTTCTCTGAGAAAATCACACAGGAACACCCAAAAAAAAAATTCTTAATCAAACCGAAAATCTCCATAAAAGAAATATGTATTGATTTCAATGGTTTTATTTTCCTCTGGTATGGAAAGAACAAGTATTTTTCAATCCCACGACATTGTTCCAGCCAAAGAAGCGATTTTTTTTTTTCAATTGTTGACGAGAAGAGTTTGTACTAAATTCTGACCAGTGCTAGCTTCTTGTAAGCATTCCTGAGCTCTGCAGCAGTGCATTCTTTCTTCAACCCCAAAACAGCATACAAATCATTGTTCTTGTCTTCCCCAGCGGCGGCCATTCTTGAACAACCGATCGAAAGGGTGGAACAATTTTCTTGTCGACGAATTTGAAATCAAAACAAACGAAACAACCCAACGACTTAAAAATATAGCAGAAACCAGATGTAGAGGTTTCTCAATCAAATACTCAAGGCTGCTACATCTTTGCGTAGTAGAACACGGAACCTTGGCATTGTTGGCAAGAGAGAGAGAGAGAGAAGAACCTGGGGAGAGCCTCCAGAAACGAGGGATATATATCTATGTAATTAGTTGGCGTTTTATAAAGATACATATATACATATTTTTATTGCTTGAACGTATTAAAACAAAATCTGAGATAAGGATGGTCACAAGGGACGGCTCAGATTCAATTGGGAGGGTAGATATTTTTGCGCGTTCCTCCAGAAAGTTCTGCATTCACTGTTCTCTGTTGGGTGTGCTTTTACTTTTTAGTTTGACAGCAACCGGTGAGGATGAGAAGAACCACCTAGTAAGTCTTATGGTCTATAGTCTATGTCAATGTAATGAAAGACCAACTTTTTAGGGAACAAGTCCATGTTAGTGGATTTTTTAGGTTTTAGGTTTAACCTAAACACTTTTAACTTCGAAAATTTATAAAAATAACTTTTAACAAAAATATTCTTAATGAAGGTTATTTAAAAAATCTCATTATTCTTCCCACATTACTTATGGATTAGTCATCCTTATCTTTTTAGAAATATACTTTAACTTAACTCAAATTATAGTAGTTAATTATTGAATTTGAAAGAGTAGTCAGTATAAATCTAAACATCTTATAACAAAAAAAAAAAAATTTCACAATCATTTTATTCTTATGTTTATTACAACTACTATCATGATTCCACTGCCATCACCGCCATTCATCAACTCCCACCACTACCACCACCACCCACCACCATTACTTGTCACCGCCCAACACCATCGTCACTAGAGGTGGCAAATTTCAAGACGACACGATAATACAATACGAACATGACACAAATTAATGAGTTTGAATTGACTATTTTTTGACATAAACTTGTATATGACATGATCGACTAACACGAATTATTAATGGGTCGTATTCAGGTTCAACCCATTTAACCTGAAAATTGACCCATATATTTAATCAAGTCGACACGAACTCAATTAACGTGTTTTCAAACCAAATAACTTGGTACTATATAAATGAACTTAGATCCCTAACCCTAAATTCATTTCACATCTAACATTACTCTGCATCCTCCTCGTCTCTCCTTCCTAGCGATTTGACTAGCCCAACTTCAACTCCCTTTCAACCATCGTCAGCATTCATCCATCGGACCATTACTAGTTAGCGCTCTCTCTTCCTTTTTCTTCTTCCCAACACTTTACGCATATCTATACTTCTCTATATACAAACCTACACTTCACTGCAGTGGAGAAGGAGAGGGAAGTGGTGTGTTACGACTGAGGCGAGTTGATTGTGATACCTAAGTTGGCTTGTGAGTGAAGGTGGATGAGAAGATGAACAGGTTTTAAGTCGTGGAGGGTAATGGAAGTGGTGCCAGTCGTGTGGGGAGTTGTAGGAACGGTTGAGGTTAGGGTTTTGTGTGTGTGTGTGTGTGTGTGTGAGAGAGAGAGTGGTTAAGTGTATTGGAGAAAGGTGTGGGCGCTCGTATTAGGAGCTATCGACAGCTAGTAGGGGTCAGGAGAGTAAGACATTGTCAGTTAAGCTCAAATTCAATTTAAATTAGGCAGTTTCAGTTAGGCTTAAATCCAATTTCAATTAGGCATTTTCAATTTCAAGCTTAAATTCAATTTCAATTCAAGCAGATATGTGATTTTTTAGACGGATTGGATCGTGTTTATCCAAACACAAATTGTGTAAATCTCAAGTCAAAGGTCGTGTCAGGTTAATTGTGTTTAGAAATAGATCGTGTTCATGTTTAGATAACATAACACGTTTAACTTGTAAGTCATGTTTGAGTTGATATGTTTTGAACCCGAACTTGACATGACACAACTCGAACGCGATATGACACTACACGATTATCACCCCTAACCGTCGCCAACCACCACCACCACAATTACCATCTCTCAATTCACTGTCCAAAAATTTCACAACATAATAAACTCAAAAATAAAAAATATTGAAAAAAAAACATTAACAGTGAATTCAAAAGATAGTGAACTTTAGTACAATAAAATTTCTAGTTCAAAATTTTTTCCCAAACAGTGAATTTTGATAGAATTAAACTCTTAGTTCACTGTCCAAAATTTTCACAAAATATTTAATTACAAAAATAGTAAAAATTTGAATTGATATATATATATATATATATATAAAACAATTAACTCAAAAAATATAAAAAAAAATATAAAAAAATAAGCTCAATAAACAATAAAATTTAATAGAATGAAACTCCTAATTTAAATATTTTTCATAAACAATGAAATTTAATATAACGAAACTCCAAGTTATAAAACCTTGTTATTTTTTATCTTCATTTTAACTATTTTCTTTTCTTTATTTTTCTACATTCTGATTCATTAATTCATAAAAAACCCAATTTACCAAAAAAAAAAAAATTCATAAAAACCCATGCTACACAATTGGACATTTGCAAACCTCTCTTTGACCAGTGCTAGGGACATCCCATATTCAATTTTTCTTCCAACTTTTCATTCTTATTTTTGGTTTGTCTCACCAAAATTCGCCATCAATTAGTCTCACGAGCATTTTGTTATACAAATCTACATTTTCTGGGGCTGGGTCGTTACACTGAGTCCTAAATCCACCAAAGAAAAGAGCTAATTAAGACTCATTGGATTGCACTGGCTGTGAGAGAAAGAAAGAGAATACTAGCGGCTGCCCGATTGGCACCACATGTCCAGCTATTACTTGAACGACCGACGGCAATGACCCGAATACTAGCCGGTCTTTTGTAGGGATCTTTTTCGTCATAAACTTCAGGCATCATTTTTTGGGTCATAAAACACATTGGAGTGACAATTATTATTTTATATTTAATGATATGATTAGTGATATTACGAAATTGACCAAGACAGTAACGTAATTACAGTGATAGTATCACTACCCAAATTTCATGGAACTAGACAATGATAATGATAGTGACAATAAATTTTCACTGTTACTATCCATTGTCATCATCTAAATTCTACGTGTGTCAGTAATTGATTTTCATTCTTGCATTTCATCGAATACAATCTGGACATAATATAACCAGAAGATTATAAATGTCTCATTTTTTACTCTTCCCAAATGCATAACAACATACAGTGAGATAGGAATCAACTCAAAATTTTACAAAACCGGCGGAATCATGAAGAGCAAAGTCAATCACAACTCGAACCAACAAAGAGATCAAAAGAAAAAAAAAACAAACAGCGCATGATGGTGATCAGAAGCCTTGGACACTGAGGACAGAATAAGAAAAACAAAATAGACCATTGGATCTACTTATCAAAAATTGCATATAACATGTCCTTAACGACCCTATAAATACACGCCTGCACTTATTGACAAAAAAAATTTTCATATTATAATTAGTTCTAATCTTTACTTTCTGTTTTTTTTTTAGATCAGAGAGTGGAAAGGAGCTCAATATAAAAATCAGCCATTAAAAAGTTCTGGGCCATACACCCCGGAACGTGACGTACGGTCCAGCTCAGCTGGGCCTTGAGTTAGCCCAACAATGACTTAAAGAATTAACGTTCCGTGATTATTTATCTATATAATAAAATAATTAGATTTTTTAGTCTTTAACTTTTCACGGTTCAGATCGCTTGAAGATTATTGATCTAACGGTTTCCATGCCAAATTCTTTTAAGACTCCTATTGTTCATGTAACTCTCTTTATATCTATCTTATAATCTCTCTCTTATATTATTATCTTATTTTTTCTGTTTCCCAAGTGTTATTTTTTTATTATTTACTCCATAAAACATAAGAAACTACATGTTATGCAATTATTTATTCCATAAAATTAATTCAAAGTATTATATATCTAACAACATGTATTTTGTCACTTCTTAATTTGTAAATAACACTTAATATAAATAAAAAATAGCACACATTTTTAACGATTTGAGGATTTTTTATCAGAGTTTCACATCTTTACCTGAAATTAGGCCTTAATTGATTCAAGGCCTAAATTTCTCTAAACTTTTCATTGATAATGATTTTTATATAGATTATTTTTTTAGTATTTTTAATGTTTGCTTTATTTGTTATAATTTGGTACTAAAATTTTAAATTTTTTCGAACTATCAATTTTTCAAATTTTTTTGTCAACTTTTAAATTTAAAACTTATTTTCATGTGAACTAGAGATTTTTGAGTTTAACAAGTGGAGGTAAACGATTCTCTTGAAAAAAAAGTGGGGATGAACAATTGGTTTGGTCTAAATATGTAATTGAATCTTGACCAAAAGAAAATTTATCAAATGATAATAGTAAGAGAAAAGACGTCATGCTATGAAAAAATATGTATTTAAATTTTATGGGCTAAAATTTTAAGTTTGTATACAACAAAAAAATTTATAATTTAAAGTTAATTTCATGTTGGGTTAATCAACACCAAATAATATTCAACACGAAATGAACCTTAAATTGTAAATTAATATATGTTTTTATCAAAATTGACATTAATTTTGTCTAATTTATATTCAAATTTGTCAAATCAATATTAAATTAATTTTTATTTTTATCAAATTAAAATTAAAATTCATTTAATCAATTTTTTGGGGTACTAAATTATATCAATTTTTTTGGTACTAAATCAAATCTTATTTTATTTTATTAAATTTTTAATTTTTTTGGATACAAAAGTTAGAGAAAGGCAATTATAAAAAAAATAAATTTTTTTGAGATAAAATCATCACTTTTTGTTAGCAATATTGACAGAAGTGAGACAAAGGAGATCTCTGTGCAATAAATTTTAAACTTTAGGGATCTCTGTGATATTTATAAAATATTAGGGAGTGTCCACATAATATTTTCAGACTCAAGGGAAGTCTGTATTTTTTATCCTTTTTTTTAATTAGATATTAATTTATTATTATTTTATCTTTAAAACTTGAATTATTATATTTTTAACAAAATCAATTATTAGTTTGGAAGGTTTGTTAGTAGCCAAAAAATAAATGTGTGAGAGTAAATTTCTGCATATAAATGTATATTTATATGTAGAGGATTGGACATTTGATAATTAGATTTATAATTTTATTGTGTCATTTAAGGTTGAATGATGATAAATTCACAAGTTTTACGAATGAGTATGATTTGATTAATTTTATTTATCGCTTAAAGATTGTAAATTTAATTATGTTATGTCAGTAATTTTTTTTTTTGTTTGAGATATTTATTACATGGGAATAGAGTGGATTAAAAATATGATAATTGAGTTTATAATTATATTTTGTTAGTGGACTGAGTGGTAGTAAAGATAATAAATTCATGAGTCTTATAAATTAACAAAATTTTATTTATTACTTAAAAATTGTAAAATTCAATAAATTATGTTAACATTTGTTTTTTTTTTCCGGAATCATTTGTGCATATAGTTTTGTTTTGAAGACTTTTATATATTTTTATTACATTTATATTAATATAAAAGATATGATCGACGATATATTTCAAGTTATTTTAAAAGAAAATTTTGTATGAATATTTTTATGCCATTCTTTTTAAATTTGGACAATTGTATAAAAAGATTTTATTTGTTATATAGTGCTTTCAAGCACCGATAATGACTAGCTATTATATAAAAGTGATCCACAGGTATTTTAATGTATGAGTAGTTTGTTTGTCTAAATGTTTAAAACAATATGTGCAATTAAGTTGGAAAGAAAAAAATTCACTGAAACAAAATAAAATTAAAAACAGAAATCAAACACTAGTTAAAAAATATTTAAACAAACAAAATATAAAAACATTATTAAAGGATACCTAACTAATTCAAAAAATTTATACAATAAAATACAATTCAATTTAAAATTTAAAAAATAAACAAAATAATTTTTATTTTTCGCAATTAAAATCTCTATAAATTTTACTTTAAAGTTAATCTAATAATTAATATTAACACCCCAAAATTGATAAGAACTATAGACACTTAAAAGGTGTATTCGATATAATTTTTTAAAAATATTTCTACAACTTATAACATCTCATAAGTCCTTAAAAAAAAAAAATAATGTTTGCGATCGCCCCACCACCATGACCATTTCCACCCCCCATTGCCACCCCATCACTATCACTACTATCGCCGCCACCCACCACCACCTCTGCCACACGAACCATTGTCGTCACCCCATTACCACAACCACCATCACCACTACCACACCACCCCCCACCATCCCCACCGACCCAACACCACCACCACAACAACCATCGTCACCGCTACCCCACCCTACCACCACCTTTATCAAAACCACCACCACCCCACCCCACCCTTACCCCACCACCACCATCACCACCCATCACCGATTGATACCACCGTCATTCACCGCCATCACCCACCACCACCTTTGTTGTCCTCCATCACTCAATACCATAACCCACCACCATTTGTTGTCGCCAACCACCGTCACCCATTCCCACCACGCCTACTACCACCCGTCATCGTTCACCACTGTCACTCACCCCCCACCACATCTATCACCACCACTATTGTCATTTGCCACTACCCATCACACTCTTTTTCCTAGAAACACCCGTCATTACCCACCACCACCATTGTCACCCCCACTACAATCGATGTTTAACTTTCTTTCTCTTTTTTTTTTATGATTTAATTTTGAGTGTAAATATAAATATGTTTATTATTGACCATTTTTTTATTACTCCGTGCTTCAGGCACGAAAAATAACTAGTAATAAAATCTGTAAACACATAGTTCAGGTCACATAAAATCTTGGTGTCAAACAAATCAATCTTTTTTGATAGTATACTAACATTCAGACCTTTGTCTCTCTCGTATCATGTTTTCTTGTACTATGCAAACTCTGTCTCATACTGTTTCAATGAGACTCAATAATAAATAAATAAATCAAAGCAAGCTTGTAATTGAGAATGAGGATGCACATGGCATCATATTCATATGTAGGGAAACAACCAAGTTAAAAGAATAGGGGACCAGCAAGGTATAATTGCTTACTCGTCTCGAGGCTTCGCCGAGGACTTGCTGATAGATAGCAAAAGGCAAGTGGTCCAACTGTCCAAAGGTTTGGAAGGTCCTCGACTATTGTCTTTCATTTTCAGCTTCCGTACATTATGTCGCAGCAATCATCCAAGGACAAGTAGGGGAGGAGGACCAAGTAGGGGAGGAGGACCTGGCCCTGGTACGTTTGGCATAGGCTTGCCCATGGGCCAGATGGCCAACCTGCCACTGCAGACAATATTACACTTGTGCATCCGCATAAATCAATCAATACATGCGCTAAAGTTTGAGGGAAATGGTACACTGTTCAGATCAGATGTAAATGAAGATAGCACCAATACTGAATCAGAAGACAAGTCCCGATTGCTTACCTTCCAATCAAGNACGTTTGGCATAGGCTTGCCCATGGGCCAGATGGCCAACCTGCCACTGCAGACAATATTACACTTGTGCATCCGCATAAATCAATCAATACATGCGCTAAAGTTTGAGGGAAATGGTACACTGTTCAGATCAGATGTAAATGAAGCTAGCACCAATACTGAATCAGAAGACAAGTCCCGATTGCTTACCTTCCAATCACGAAACAACAAAACCGGACATGCCTATTTGAGTCAGCACATTATAACCGGTTTAACATTTTCACTTAAGATACGATACATTCAAAAACGAGGATATATAGCAGAAGTCAATAGAAGTCGATACCATTATTTTCTACTCTTTCTGAACTACAAAACAGCTCATTGCGCTCTCAATGCTTTGATCCAATCAATTTCCACTCGGAAATCACCCGGGCCAGTCCTAGAACCTGGCATTCCACCCTCAGCATTGACAGAAAGAGACATGCCAACAATTCTAGATGGGTTCATTTCCAACTGTGCATCTATAACATTCCCTCTCCATGTTGGTAAATATCTAGCCAGAGGAATCTGAAATGCACCATTCTCAGAATTTACAAACACCACACTGAATAAGAGAGTAACAATATTTCTACAAAATTTCAAAAGCATGTAATGTGTATGAAATAAGCAGAACACTGCTTTCCCAACCTCAAGGAAAGTCGAACCATATTCCATAGAGGCATATTTGGTGAAAAAGTAAACAGCACAACTTCTTCAAAGCAAGGGGATGCTAAGAAAAAAGATATCTATCACCACTTTTTGTTACTTGTTCTATTAGATACTTGTTTTGGAAAAAACAATCAAGACGAAACTATAAGGATAATAAATAGTGTCATGTAAAGTGGTGACACAAAAGGGTGAAGAAATCTCGGAGACATATAAAATTGCTAGGATATAGAAGACAAGGAAAAAAAATCATATTTATGTCCAACATTTTTCCCCCTCTTAACACTTCAAGGCATCACCAATCAAGCATCAGATATAAGCTTTTTGACAGTATATGTTACAAACTTCATCATCACAGAGAATCATGCCTCTACAAATAGTTGTACACAAAAAACCTTAAAATTCTCTTGTTTATTTTGCTGCTTATAGCATGCCGTACTGTCATATCATGACTGTAACCAAGTTTGCAGTGGATTTCTAGTCGCGATTCTCATGTTCCAGCAATACTAAATTTCCTGATTACGAGCAAAAACCTTTATGACATGAGAACAACTTCATCCCAATAATCGTTATCTTCTTTGTCTTGGTAAACAATGTGGTTAAGTAATCCAGCATATAGGTGATTCCCATCAAGTATCACATAAGTTAACCCCCGGATTGTGTGCTTCCAAGTCAATATGAACCATAGTATCAAATTTCTTAATGGAAATATATATGTGCAGCTTCCAAAACCTATTTTTCTGTCCTTTCCTTTTTGTTCTCTTGCCCCATTATTACATTCAATTTAAACCACTAAACTATAATTACAAGCATGATTTGGGCACTAATACCGTAGCACTGTGAATATCACTTCTCAGTGCAAACTATGTGAAACAGTCAATGAACTTGCCTTTGCTATACACCAGTTGTCTTTAGGGACAAAAACAAATGCTTGCCAAGAGTTATCTTCCTGTTGTCCAGGTGAATTGACCCAATTCTCTGTATAAATCTGCATTGATGTACACCCAAAATTAAAATACGTATTAAAATATTTCCTCCACTAGATAGATGACAGAAAACTAACAGTAGATATGTAACATCTTCCATCTCCTTTAAGCTTTAGCGATATGGTGTCATATGGGTCCAAATCAATGAAGCCATCAAACTGCAGAAAACATAAATTAGACAGGAAAACAGCACCCACAAGGAAACTACATATGATAGAAATTATACGCGTTTGAATTCCAACGCAGAGAGGGGGATCAACCTAGATACCAGTTGGAAATGAATGGAAGGAGGTGGTAGGAGCAATAATTGACAATTTAGTTTGGTTATACAAAGACAAGTTAGAATCTAAGCTAACAAGTGATTGGCAGCAATAACTACTCTCAAATTGAAATACGTCTATCAATAGATCAGATTTTGACCCGAATCTGAATTCAATTAGCCAGATATGGGTTGATATTATTTATCGACAATCCGAATCCGAAACCGCTATCTTATATTTCACGGATTCTGATTCGGGTATACCGATATCCAATCCTATGATGATCCAATCTGAATATGTATATATTTTTATATAAATATTAAAGAAATTAAATGATTATTTGAAGAAATTTATATGTAATTTGTTAAATTTTAGTTAAATTAAGTTATTGGGATTGGATTGGATCAAATTTCGAATTGTTAACCTATTCGGATATGGACCATGAAAATAAAATCCGTCAGATACTCGGATTGGACTTCTAAAATCAAATTCGGGTNCAGAAAACATAAATTAGACAGGAAAACAGCACCCACAAGGAAACTACATATGATAGAAATTATATGCGTTTGAATTCCAACGCAGAGAGGGGGATCAACCTAGATACCAGTTGGAAATGAATGGAAGGAGGTGGTAGGAGCAATAATTGACAATTTAGTTTGGTTATACAAAGACAAGTTAGAATCTAAGCTAACAAGTGATTGGCAGCAATAACTACTCTCAAATTGAAATACGTCTATCAATAGATCAGATTTTGACCCGAATCTGAATTCAATTAGCCAGATATGGGTTGATATTATTTATCGACAATCCGAATCCGAAACCGCTATCTTATATTTCACGGATTCTGATTCGGGTATACCGATATCCAATCCTATGATGATCCAATCTGAATATGTATATATTTTTATATAAATATTAAAGAAATTAAATGATTATTTGAAGAAATTTATATGTAATTTGTTAAATTTTAGTTAAATTAAGTTATTGGGATTGGATTGGATCAGATTTCGAATTGTTAACCTATTCGGATATGGACCATGAAAATAAAATCCGTCAGATACTCGGATTGGACTTCTAAAGTCAAATTCGGATTCAAATTAATCAAAATTCAATTCGTTGACAGACCTACTCTCAAATAAGAATCATAGGGCGTGAAGTGCACCAACAATGCCTCTTCGCCCGCAGGGACAAGTTATGTGCATCTACACTCTCCCCATATGCTATAATGTCAGGTGCCTTGTGCACTGAGCTGTCATTTTTTAGACAGAATTAGGACAACCGTTCACCTTCCTAGATCGCATTCCACAAAAACCACTTCGAGTTATGTTCCATTTTGAACCCTCAGTAACATCCAGGGAGAGGTTTCCAGAGAAGATTCCTATCAGATAAACCAAAAACAATCATAATTCAGAAGTCAAAACAATGTTTTATTAACACTAATAGACATTTAGACAACACAATATTCAACAACTTACTTGTGTCAGAAAGTCTCAGTGTCAAAAGATATGCACAACCAAATATTATTACTCCCTCTATCACATAATTTGGAATCCTTTAGGGAACCCAACCATTTATGAATTAGTTTAAACTGTGGAGAAAAAGTGACACAAAAATAGTGTTTTGAAAACAAGTAACCACGCTCGANTACTCCCTCTATCACATAATTTGGAATCCTTTAGGGAACCCAACCATTTATGAATTTGTTTAAACTGTGGAGAAAAAGTGACACAAAAATAGTGTTTTGAAAACAAGTAACCACGCTCAAANAAAAAAAAAAAACAATCATATATAATGAACAGACAGTTGAGGAAATTTTAGGGGACACTCAAAATCCTATTTTATTTTATCTTCCCACCATGTCAAATAATAGTACTGAAATTTCAGTTACACTTCATCTAACCTGGGAGGACAGTTTCCAAGNGAAGAAAATCAACTTCATAAAACCTCAAAAAATCATTCAAACGAGGAAAACCAATATCAAGGAGCTATCCCAATCATTATGGTTGAAATTTGTACCTTCTCGATTCTGTTTCTTCTCCTCTCTTTCTTATTCACTCAGCCTATGACCAATAGAGAAGCATACTCAACAAACGANTTCTCCTCTCTTTCTTATTCACTCAGCCTATGACCAATAGAGAAGCATACTCAACAAACGAAAAAGGACTTGGCACCCAAAAGAGTCTTTCGGTCACATTCAAAACATTTTTACGTGATGTGGAAATAAGCGATGTTAATTACAACCCAAGAAATTCAGTTTGCTGCAGGAAATATAGAACTATAGTTCTTCGTGAAAATTCCTAGCTTGTTACTCGCACAATATACAAGTGGCAGAGTATAAGAATCTAAAAATCACAAATAATATATTTTATTATCAATCTTTCAAGAGCTAAAACCAGTTACTGACCAGTAGCGCTCAACCCACTTCCAGCATCTGTAATTTCCAAAGCCGCTGAAGACAAACCTAACAACCAAACAACAAGTGATAGGTGAGACTCCCATCAAATAATTTCACAAGCCATTATTGCATGTGATCCAACAATAAAATTGCCATTATTTAGAAATTTCAACATACAAGGAAAACAAGCCATGCAGGCTTAAATATTTACATTTTTATGTATTAAAACATAAAAACAATTGCTAGTTTACGGGCACTTGGTGGAGCTCAGATAAGGTTTTCATTGGTTGAGCTATTTTAATCATGTATAATTAGCAGTACATTTACTAATCCAAGGGATCAAGAACATAAAAATATATACAATGGAGAGAAAAAAAAGGTGCATTGCAGGAAATCCTGAATTGCTCGCTGTGGGTGACTGTGTAGCATTATTTATGACTTTATATATACACACCTCCATATTCAGAGTCTGAGTAAAGATGCCACTTTTTAAGCTCTTCCTTTGAATTGAAATTAAATATATATCTTTCACTAGGAGGAATCAAGTCTTCGACGTTCCATGTGAGAGCTGCAAGTGACAATGGAGAAAAGTAAAAGCTTTAGGGCCATGCATACAAATGCAGAAAAGCAAGAAACGTACCAACCTCTCACCACTTTGCGTTTGGACAAGGCACTAAACTCTATGAGTATATCAGAAGCATACAGCACTATGAGTTCAAATGAATGCTAGTTCAAACAATTACAAAAAACAAAAAAAAAAACAATCATATATAATGAACAGACAGTTGAGGAAATTTTAGGGGACACTCAAAATCCTATTTTATTTTATCTTCCCACCATGTCAAATAATAGTACTGAAATTTCAGTTACACTTCATCTAACCTGGGAGGACAGTTTCCAAGTGCTAAATGTTTTCTGAGAGCTAGTCCTTGAGTCCAGCCTTTCATTTACCAAATCTCCATGAATCACTGTCCCCAGATTAGATGTCCTCCTCCACTCAACAATTTCTACCAGTGTTGTATGCAAACTTTGAAAAAGACTTTTACCACATGTGACTCTTCTAAAAAAGACTTGTAGGGCTACATTCTTCACCTCTTTAATGCAGTTATATCCTGGTGCAGTACTTTCAAAGCCTGATAGTTACTTTGTTTAGGAAGGAGGGAGATTGTTTTAGTGTAATAATGGCATTAACTTGTCACATTGGGATCATTGCTCCATCGAAAGGAGACATAGCATAGTCCAGGATACTTCTTCATAATAAGAAGACACATGGCTGCGAGAGATTTACTGCTGGAAAACTGACAATGAGTTTTACAGGATAAAACATGGTGTCTACAAGTCTTTGAATGAAATTATGACAGATTTCATCCTGACCATTATTACACTGCAATATGCACAACCAGAAAAGGAACAGACGTATATTCGAGGACGATATCCTTTTGTAAACACTTCTATGATCAACAAGCCATGTGATCTCGCAAATGATAGCCAAGTCCTAGCCAAAATAAAAGCTTCTCTGCTGCAAACATTATTTGAAAGAAAACACCAACCTCTCATTTAATTGCTAATGACTAAATTCAGTGATAGTTGTTAAATTCGTTGCCACTCAATTTTCCAAAAACCTGTCCCAGTCCTAAAATCAACTACTGTACCAAGTTTAGTATCTCTAACCCTGAAAAAAAATATAATTCAGCATGGCTATCATCAGGAAAGATGATGATTTTTAAAGGGCCCACTAAATTTACAAAAGAACAACTGACTTCCCACTTCAAAATCAACCAGGCAATAAAATATTATCTGCAAATTCAGTATTTTAGCCTAGGAATTGCACTCAAATGCCTAAATATTCAGGCCTATGATATGCTACAAAACTAAGTATTAATGTGCTAAGAATTCCACACCATATGACGAAATAAGAAGAAAACAAGTAGAACAAACAGAGAATTAAAATGTAAATGTAAAAAAAAAAAAAAGATAAAACAGATAAATACAATGTTGCTCAATGGCAGCAAAGCACTGTAGTAAACTTTAGCAACTAAACAAATCATCCAAAAAGTTAGGCAATAGTTTAGTACCTTTTCTAGTGGCATTCATAGAGGCTTGCCACAGTGCACGAAATCTGGACATCTCCTTTGCCCTTTTAAGTCCCTACAGCGTCAACANAAGAAAACAAGTAGAACAAACAGAGAATTAAAATGTAAATGTAAAAAAAAAAAAAAAGATAAAACAGATAAATACAATGTTGCTCAATGGTAGCAAAGCACTGTAGTAAACTTTAGCAACTAAACAAATCATCCAAAAAGTTAGGCAATAGTTTAGTACCTTTTCTAGTAGCATTCATAGAGGCTTGCCACAGTGCACGAAATCTGGACATCTCCTTTGCCCTTTTAAGTCCCTACAGCGTCAACAAGACAAAATGTTCCAAATCTTTAGCTTGTGGTTGATAAAGTCAAGGATAGTGCAGGCAATTAAAAAAAGTAAGGTGCAAAAATTCTCGTTGGAGGGAACCACAAGAACTAAAAAGCCAAACACATTTATCAAATTTATACAAGAATTCCAACTACAGCACAATGAATAATTTGGTAGCCCAAAGACCTACCTATTTACACTTGCAACCCCTTGAGATTGACTCAATAATTGTAGCATATAAAATGCAAGTCTAGATTCTTTTGGACAAAATATAACCAGCATGTACNGGTAGCCCAAAGACCTACCTATTTACACTTGCAACCCCTTGAGATTGACTCAATAACTGTAGCATATAAAATGCAAGTCTAGATTCTTTTGGACAAAATATAACCAGCATGTACGATGATGAACCTTAATAGTTATTCGAAATACAATTCGACAAATGATTCTTATGAACTGCATATGGAATAATACACCCGAAACGACCACCAAATCAAAACCTAGAAGATATTAAAACAAGTATACTACCTGAATAATTCACTCAGACTATCTCAATGAACATGCACCCAATGATTACCAGTAGATGCCTGAATGCCAAACCTTACAAACAGTTGCTCATTGCACATGGCATGATGTCAAGATTAGTATAAAGAATGCAATCCATAATTGTAGGCAAAAATGAGGGTCAACTGAAATGACCATGATTGCTGACTCTGCATTTGAAGCCGTCGAATAGACAAGAATGGGTTATCTATAACCATAGCAGGTTGAAACAACTATACAAATGTAGGAGGCATGATATTTGACAAAGCCACACAAACTAATTTTGTCATCAAGAACCACATAATCAGAGGCAAGTCAAAAAGTGCCAAAATACGAATCCTATGAAGTCACAACATGGGTTTAGGGTTTAGGGCTATTATACTTATTTTAGTCCACAGTTTAGAAAAACTCACTCCCCTCCGTCCCACTTCCAGTCTTCGTCTCCCGATCCCCTTCCCCTCCCCCTCCCCCTCTCCCTCTCCCTCTCCCACCCCCAAGACCTTAACAATCAGATAAGAAAACCGTATTTCTCAACTGGGCTTTGGTTTATGCCATCTGAAATCTTGTAACAATCAATGAAGTAAATGTTCCAATTTACAATTTCACAACAGCCACATATATTAAGGTATAGACTCCTCATTAGGCACCAAAATCTGTGACCATAGAAGGAACTATATCCAACATTTTCCCATGAGCTCCACCTTCAAATTTCACAGCATTGATTGCAAAGTCTACTGCTGTTTCCCTTGTGAAACCTGTAACAGTTGGTAGCAATATCCAATTTAATCTACTGCAGTGCCAAAATTTTGTGTAGAACAAATTTCAGACTGAAAATGCATATGATAATAGTACTATTGCCCCAAGGCCCCAACTCTTTGAACATCCCTGCTATGGTCTCTCTCTCTCTCTCTCTCTCTCTGAGCTGATATTTAACAGTTCTTCAGATTTACTAGAAATTACCATGAAATTTCTGGATAGAAGATTAAAGCATCCAAAAATTTCAGAAGGTCCACTAGAATTTTCATAATAGATGATAACTTTGGTGGTGTTTGATAAAACTCAAAGCTGAATACTAAGAATTGAATGTTAAATTTTAAGTACTGAATGCTGAATTTTTTAATTCAGTGTTTCTTGACCGAGATAAATCTCTTCCTCCTTTTCTTCTTTCTTCTCGTCTTTCTTCTCGGCAAAATTAGAATAATAATAATTTTCAAACTTCAACACCTTATATTTGTCAAATAATTTGATTCAATTCAATATTTCAATTTCAGTTGATACCAAATTGTCTACAAATTAAAAATTTAACATTTAGCACTTACAATTCAACATTTAGTTTTCACTATTCAGCTTCCAGTTTTATCAAACACCACTCATGGTTATATAATAAAAATAATAATAAATAATTATTGCAAATAGTAAATATGCTAAAAATAATTATCAATATTCAATAACCAATATGGATGATACAAGTTCTAGATTCAACCTCAAATTACAAAGCTCATACATCCACATACGAAAATAATTAAAAACCCATGCTATAAATTCAATTCTCAAATCAAATTGCCTAGCAAAATGAACTCATGATTCATGAACAACAACAAAAATCAAAAGAAAATTAAAAATAAAGAAACAGAACAAATTTTTTGATAAAAAAAAATAGGTAAAAAAAAACAGATGCACACAACAACTCAACACGGTCACACAGAACCACCACCTGCAATCACATGCCATAAAATCTATTAGAATCCAAAGTCGTGAAGGGAAGGGTCATTTGCAAATCTGCCGTTTATCGATGATAACGAGGTCAATTTAGTTTCCGTTGGTGCAGTATCACAAAGGTGCAGGTACAGGTTGACGAGAAAACAGGCCAAAATTTTCACTGAAATGAGTTCAATGTTCAAAATATAATTAACGAAAAATAGGTATTGAAGCAAAATCGCTTGTCCAAAACCAAAACAATCACTAACTGAGAGTGCAGAGAGACTGTGTGAGAGAGACGAGTGATGAAATACCTGTCTAGTGAAGGAAATGAAAGGGTGTATTGAAGCAAAATCTTAAACCCTTCTTGATTGACGATGTTGGCCACGAATAGCGATCGACGATGGTGGTGGTGAATCTGGTGACTCTTGGGACGCTCCACCGACGGAGAGAGTCTGAGAGTGCAGGGAGACTGTGAGAGAGACGAGTGATAGACTGAGACCTTACAGGCCGAGAGGGAGATGAGAGACGGTCGGATTAGATTAGGGTAAAAATGCCCAAAAAAACTGTAACTTAATCAGACTTTAGGAACTCGACCGATTTCATTAAAACCATCCGGTTTGAACAGGTTTGATGCTCAAACGACCGGTCCGGTTGAACGTCCGATTCATCGTGTACGGAAAAGACAGGTAGGGATTGAGGAGAAAATATCGGGTGTAACCGTTGTCCCATGTCATCATGCATCCGATGTCATTTAACAAAACGCAATTTCTTTTGCATCTTGTTTTATCGTTTACTTGCTTTTTTTTTTTTCTCATCTTTTTTTTTCTTTTGTTTCTCTCCTCTCAATCTGGTTGAATTTGGATTGAATTCGAATTTAATTTAAAAAGTTCAATATGATTATTTGATGAATTTAATTTTAAAAATTCGTATTATGATTCTCTAAAAAATAGACATTCAATGCAAATATCCAAGTTGACCTAATTAACTTAATTAGAGTTTATTTTGACAAATTACACCTAAACTATCAACTAATCACAAAATCGCATTAAATATATATTCACTAGGGATAACTTGTGTTTGAAGATACGGTGCAATGTAAATTGTTTTGAAAATGATATTAGTGGTCGTTGGATGAGATTATTTGAGACTGTTGGATAAGTTTATTGAACTTTGTCATGTTTTATATTATAGATATCATATTTACATACAAATCAAATCGAATTATAATAGAATATTCATAAATTTAAATCCATAAAATTGATATGATGGATTTTAATTTTGATTCAAATAATCAGTTAAAAAATATCGACTCATACAGGACAAATCAAATTTAGAATTGACAAATTCGAATTAAAGTTCAAGTAATTAACTTGTCTATTCATGAATGAGATGTCTTTGGAGCCTGCTTGGATGAATTTTTGGGAAAGGTTTGGATTGACTTTTTCAAATCCTTTCAAATCTAATTTCCTCTTTACAAATATAAGATTTAATATTGAATCTAGTTCATATTCATTTTTGATATGCAACACATATACATGTAGGATTCAAAGATATATCACAATTATTAATAATCATTTGTCCTATAAATAACTATTTTACTCCTTGATCAATTTAATTCATATCCATGTTAAGGAGTATAATTGTCTTTTATATTCTTAACCCTTTGACCCATCTTCCTAAATTCACCCCCTCCCTAAACCAATACTATATGTAATCTTTATTCGTATGAATATAAGTTCCAGGAGTAAGAGACTCTCTTGAAAGTGAATTAACCGAACTCACAAGTTGATGAACTACTATAAATTCTCTATGTGTTAACCTTTTTTCTCCTGTTCAAACCTCAAGAGCCTAAGAGCTCAGACTAAGTTGTTCAGTGACACACTAATCTCCAATCTCCATTCTATCGTACTATGCACACCATCAAACATTTTTTTATGTATTAAAACATAAAAAACAATTGNGATTCAAATAATCAGTTAAAAAATATCGACTCATACAGGACAAATCAAATTTAGAATTGACAAATTCGAATTAAAGTTCAAGTAATTAACTTGTCTATTCATGAATGAGATGTCTTTGGAGCCTGCTTGGATGAATTTTTGGGAAAGGTTTGGATTGACCTTTTTAAACCCTTTCAAATCTAATTCCCTCTTTACAAATATGAGATTTAATATTGAATCCAGTTCATGCTTATTTTTGATATGCAACACACATACATGTAGGATCCAAGGATATATCACAATTATTAATAATCATTTGTCATATAAATAGTTATTTTGCTCCTTGATCAATTTAATTCATATCCATGTCAAGGGGTATAATTATCTTTTATATTTTTAACCCTTTGACTCATCTTCCTAAATCCACCCCCCTAAACCAATACTATATGTAATCTTTATTCGTATGAATATAAGTTTCAGGAGCAAGAGCCACTCTTGAGAGTGAATTAACTAAACTCATAAGTTGATGAACTACTATAAATTCTCTATGTGTTAACCTTTTTTCTCCTGTTCAAACCTCAAGAGCCTAGGAGCTCAGACTAAGTTGTTCAGTGACACACTAATCTCCGATCTCCATTCTATCATACTATGCACACCATCAAACATTTTTTTATGTATTAAAACATAAAAAACAATCGCTAGTTTACGGGCACTTGGTGGAGCTCAAATAAGGTTTTCATTGGTTGAGCTTTTTTAATCATGTATAATTAGCGGTACATTTACTAATCCAAGGCATCAAGAACACAAAAATCTATAAAAGGGGGAGAAAAAAAAATGAGGTTTATTCCAGGAATTCCCCAGTTGCTCGCTATGGATGACTGTATAGCATGATTTATGACTTTATATATACACACCTCCATATTCAGAATATGGGTAAAGATGCTACTTTTTGAGATCTTCCTTTGAATTGAAATTGAATATATATCTTTCACTGGGAGGAATCAAGTCTTCAACGTTTCAGGTGAGAGTTGCAAGTGACAATGGAGAAAAATAAAAGTTTTAGGGCCCCGCATACAAATACAAAAAAACAAGAAATGTACCAACTTCCCACCACTTTGTGTTTGGACAAGGCATTTAACTCTATGAGTTTATCAGAAACATACGGCATTACTTAATGAGTTCAAATGAATGCTAGTTCAAACAATTACGAAAAAAATTACCTTTGTGTCAATTAAGTGCTTACACTTTTTTTTTTTGGGCATCAATTAAGCCTATGTACTCTTTAATTGTATCAATTTTTTTTATCTGCCTTCGTTAGAGTGTGTCACTCACGTGACTATATATTACAAAAATACAAAAGGGTTTAATTAATACAATTAGAGAGTTTAGGGACTCAATTGATACAAAAAAAAAATTTAAAGACTTAATTGATACAAGAGTCATAATTTGAGGGTTATATGTATAATTCACTTCAACTATTTGTAAAATTTAAATAAGGCGGAAAGAAAGGCTTAATTGACACGATTAGAGAGTTCAGAAGTTCAATTGATACAAAAAAAAAATCAGAGATTTAATTAACACAAATATCATAGTTTGAGGACCATATGTATAATTTACTCTTTTATCTTTTACTTGTTTTTTTACTTTTCTCAATTTTTAATTTTTGTTAAAGGCAGAACGATTAGGATTAAGGCAAAAATACCCAAAAGGGCCAAAAGCCTGGGTTTTACGGTCTTCAAAGTTTTAATTGCCCCGTCCGGTTTGTAACTAGTTGTCCGATTTAGTGAGTTTGGTCAAGAATTGCCTGGTTTATCGGATTTTGACTGAATTTTGTGCTCAAATAATCTAATGCACTACCCGTCCCTATTTAATGATCGGTTTATCGTGTCAGCCTGTCGGGCCAATCCTGATTTTAAAATGCTACTCTCGATCCTTTGTTACTTATGAATAGGTTGAATTTGGATCTGATTCAAATTTGATTTAAAAGTTTCAATGTGATTATTCAACAACTTCAATTCTAACAATTCATATTAGGGTCACTAAAAATTAGACATCCAATTCGAATATTTGATCTGAGCCGATTAACTTAATTAAAATTTATTTTAGCAAATTACACTTAAACTAACTAATAAACCACAAAATGGCATGAAATATATGCTCATTAAAATATTTGATAAGACAGTTTTGACAAACACAAGAGCTCAGACGCAACATAGAGAAAGATTCAAATACAAACCGATAACAAATACGACATCTTTTAGCAAAGAAGCTAACTGATTGCTATGTTCAACCAACATCTTCTATGAAGATCTTATCCAACGTTATTCTTGTCTCATACAATGATAGATCTGCTCTGCAATCTCATACCCAGCAGTACAAAAGGATTCATACCAGTACTTTTTTTTGTACCCCATCATTAAGGATCTATTGTTGAAGGAAACATTAGAGGTTCGAGTGTGAACACAAAAAAAGGTATCAATTTCGTACTTTTCCTTTCAGACAGATTAGCCGACAACGATGCAGTGATAAGAATTCGAACAAGCAACCACAATATTGTGGGTTGCTAGGCGTTTTGTTGTGAACAATGTCAAAGGTTAAATTTATATTATCTCTATCTGGTTCAACACTCTGATTAATAAGCACCTGTAGGATGGTAATAAATATCAATTTTTGTTTAGGGTTAATAGTATTTTTAGTCTTTAAAGTCTGAATTTTTTGTTAGTTTAATATTTAATGTATTAATTTTGTCAATTTAATATCTAAAGTATTTAATTTGTGTTATTTTAGTCCTCATATGGATGGACCGTTAAATTTTTTGATGGAAGTGGTCACCTATCATTTTTTGAGACGGTATCATTTGTCCAACACGTAATTATTCTGTCAAAAAACTTAATGGTTTGTCTGTGCAGGGACCAAAATGACACGAATTGAATAATTTAAGGATCAAATTAACAAAATCGATACATTGAAGATTAAATTGACAAAAAAATGCATAATTTAAAGATCAAAAGTGTTATCATCCCTTTTTTTTTTAAGTTTAATGGTTTGGGTGTCTGAGTCAATTTATGAGCTCGTCAACTATTCCCTTCCTTGATTTGGTCAAAAGTAAGTCATTCACATCGGGAATAGGATATTCATGACGGATAAATCTCTTGTAATCTGACCCAAAAAAATATCAAAATTTAAATTCATGACATCTCAATTTACTATTTATTTCTATTATTATTTGAGCTATTTTCGGAGTTGTAATAAAATATCATTTTCATCAATTTGATTGCAATGATTCTGTCATGCATAATCAATTCTGCCGAGAGTAGTCAGCTTTGTGGTCACGGCATTCTCTCTCTCTCTCTCTCTCCCAAATAGAGATTCCAATCAAATTAAAATAACACCATGGAGCAAAATTATTATTAGACATACCAATCAGTAAAGCTACATTGAAAATATCGCAAATCAACATCTTACTACAGTGACACTAGGACGGCAAGGACAGGCTCATGCACGGCCTTATATTCCCACATTAGGAGCGAGCCATATGAAGAGGATAATGACTAAATACAGAATTTATGGGAAAGATTTGTTAACAATAACTCGTTACC